ATAATAGTTGTGAGCTTTGATGTCCGGTGAATTTGATTAAGAACCCAAGAATCCCGGTTGACTCTTCCTAAAGTGAATACAGAACTTGCCTCTACTGTGCTCACGAGGTTCTATTGTTGGCAACCCTGTTGAGCTGTCGTTTTTCTCCAATATAGTGTGTATATATATATATATAGGAGCATCTTAATTCTCTTTTCCATTCCTGTACAAAGGGATTATCAAAAACTTTACCATGATTATGCTTTTCTTCTTTTCTTTCTTTTTTTTTTAAAAAAATATTATTGATATGTGGAGATTGTGATTTGAAATTACTTGAAGCAACGTCTTTCACGTTGGAGTGGTGCTTTTTGATACATCAGATTGGGGACAGCTTGATTCCATTGCTAATTCCATTGAAGCGAGTAGCAAAAATCTCACAAAATCAAATACTAGTTGGTGGGTTAGTTGGTTCTTTTGCATCTCTTTTTGACTCAGTGACACCCATTAGCGCATTTGTCCTTTCGTCCCAAAATCTGAAAGAAGTCGTTCCAATTTTCGCGTAATGCATGGAAATAGTAGAGTATCAGGATTCAATTTCTTGCTACCATGGAAGAAAATTGGTGAAGTCATTTTCCATTTTGCCACACATAGTACAGCTCTTGACTCCTTTTTATTGTCTAAAAGGCCTTTTTTTTTTTGCGCTTTATGGGAATAAGAACTTGAATGAATTCGACGCCATTCATAGTCTCCATTCACAGTTACGAATTAGAAAATGTTTACAACTCGTTTGCAGGAATTTATACTGATCGCTAGTCAATACAGTTCTCACGTCGACAACAGCCGCATTTAAACACATGACCTTTTGTGACTGGAAAGCCAGTTATCTACAAAGCCAATTGCTCCATCGTCCTGGGGCCGGAAAAGTTGTCTTCCTCATCCATTGGCACCGTGGCCGGCCCGCTACAATCCTTCATTATTCATTCATGTACGTTAGTACTGTGATAATTTGATGGGTTCTTCTCGCCACATGCAGTGATTAATTATCCGTTCAACCATAAAAAAGTTTGTTCACAGTTTAAACTAAAATGGCGCGTTTATGTTGTGTGAAAATAATAAAAGCTTCGATACTAAGACATGTTATACCTGAAAGGACAAAACTTGCACATCTTCAATGATTCTGTACGTTTAGATCGAACATTTACATAGAGGTATGCACTTTCCGATTTCGAAAATATTCTTTGCACTAAGGTTAGAATCTTTTTCAATGAGGAGATTTTGGGTTGTATATTGAAACAAATTTGGAAAAAAAAAAAGAAGAAGAGCAAAAACATAAAACTTGGCAACTATAATAATTGATCAACACAATAATGTTCCCGAATCTAACTCACTTTTATGCAAAAGTTCCGTTTTCACTTTTCTGTGGAAACAACTTGATTGGTGAGAAGCAATGCAAATAATAAAATCTAGAGGAGTCATTGAGAAGCAATGCCCGAAGCCTAATGCGTGATGAAGACAGGCCTACCCTTCACCCATTTGACCCCTTCGACGCCTTCGAGGTTGACACAATAAAACTAAGCATTAGTAATTATTAGTACAATATTTGTTGCTCTAACATATCGGAATATGATGAGAAGCATGCGTGTATATATATATATATATATGTATGTATGTATATGTACCGTTAACTAATGAATAATGAATTACCGTTATCTCAATCTGGAGTATGGACTAGGTAGGTAAAGAATATTCCCATGTTTCTACCATTTTGTTGGCCATGGTTAAATTTCTCAATCTATTGACATGCACGCACAATTTTGATGCAAAGGCAACGGAGACTGGGAGGCCGACTGAAATGACTCTACAACGGAAAAAGCAGCATGGTAGGTGTAATTGTTATTGATATTTGATAGTAGTTTTTTTTTTTTGGGGGGTTATTTATAGTGAATTTTCCGAAAAAAGAAAACCCACTTTTCCGTCTAATTGTTATTCCTAATTTTCATCCAAAACCAAAGTTTAAACTGAAATTACAGTCTCAATTTATGTTCCCCATCATTATTGTTATCTACAAATCATGATCAAAGTTCTGTCTAATGTGTATCTATTGAATACTCGTTAAAATATATTATAGGCATTAGCATGTGCATATACACGAAAGAAGTTACGTATATGGTAAATGATGACCGAGTGGGGAGACCATCTTAGCTAGACAGGGTAAGTAAACAGATCCCTTGTCTAGAATTAAATATTAATGGTTACTGCTGTAAAATTCTAGTAGTAGTCTTAATTTGGTGGGACAATGAAACAAGTGTAGTGCAGCATGGAATATTTTAAATTCTGGTTGTAAAAAAGGCACTTGGGATTTTAGTCAGTTTTGCCCTTTATTCTGGCATCAAAGTGGATTAATGGTTTTGAATGCAGCAGCAGCACGCTAATCTAATGGTGGTGTCATTAGACCTGCGTTCCTGTCGGAAAAACACAAGTTATCAAGTAATGCTGATGGTAGTTTGGGCGCACATTAATTAATTAATAATCAAATACTACTACTAGTCTACTACTAATGTATTGACTTTATTTTTTTTTATTTAAACAAATAATCGAGAGGCTGTAGATACATACATATGATACATAAATGAGATAGAAATGCCGGACCCATTCCGCGCTGCCGCACAGCAGCACACGGGCGAGAAGTTTGTGTTGTGGTGGCTGCCTCCATGTCACAAGACGCCGTAGTTTTTTTGGGAGTTTATTTAAAATTTTACTATAATTTACTGTAAAAAATTTTTAAATATTTTTAAAAATTTGTAGATTTTTAAATATTTTGAAGTGTATAATTTAAAATCTTTATGAAATTTTTTGATATTACTGTAGTTAAAGTTTTTAAAAAATTTGTTACAGACAAACTTGACAAAAAACTTTTTAGATTCCAAACAAGGACAAAATTTCAAGAAATTTTATTTCAGGAGCATCAGCCGCAGAAATTTGCCCTTCGTCGCCGAAATATGCTACCACCAGCAGCCGCAGAAATTGCACGTTGTTCCAGGCTTTATTGCCCACAGATTTTCATTGAACCCAGTATTCATATGGAAACAATAATATACACTCGTACGTTAATGTTGATGTTGCGGTGCAATAATTAAACTACGTACACACGATTGCCGCCCTTTTGAGCCTCGATTTTTATATTTGTATAATCTACTCTAATCTAATCTAAGGGGAGGAAGGGTCGGAATTTTTTTTCTGTCGAAGGAAACTATAATTAGGTGACAGTTGTAATTAAGTGAGAATGTGGAAGACAAGGATTGAACCATTAACCTCCTATTCCGAAGAGGCTGTTGGCAGCCTCAGTTTATACTTACGAACGTACTTAAACAAGTAACGGTGGGATATGCATATATATACATATACCAATCCGGTAAATCTGGGAACACTCTCCATCACCACTCAAGAAAAGATTCGTCGCAGCATTATTAAATTATATGAAAAGTAATATAAAAAAGTGGTACTGGTACAGGGTAGTAGTATCAAGTGTGTGGGAAAGACAAAATCATATAGCTATCTATCATCATTCCCGTTCCAGCCTCAGCCCAAGAAAACACTCTTTCACATGCCGTTTTCTCCAATTATGCACACATGACATCTCCAGCTATACGTCTAGATTCTTGGATTTATTGTACGCTTTTTCCAGCAGCTGGGGCTTGTCTAGACTTTGGATGCCACCGTTTCTGACCATTTTAACTTCCGCAATCCCCAGTTCCCACTTCTTTCCTCTCTCCTTGGCTATAGGACGGGAAAAAAAATTCACTCTATATTTCTAAATTTTGAGATAGGGACACATTTTATCCCTAAATTTTTAGGCGCAACACATTTAGCGCATGAATTAATAATTTTTTATCACATTTAGTCCAAAAACGTTAATTTGTTCAATTTGGACGGAGAAGACTCACATTTTTAGCATGTGACTGTTAATTTTGATTGAGAAATTGATTTTACTTAACGGTCACGTGCTAGACACGTGAGCCTTTATCGTCCAAATTGAACAATTTACTATTTTTGGACTAAATATGGTCAAAAATCATTAATCTATGTACTAAATGTGTTGCGCCTAAAAGTTTAGAGATGAAATGTGTCCCTGTCTTAAAATTTAGGGATGAAAAGTAAATTTTTCCCCTATAGGACAGGCCGTTTGCTTATCGAAATTAAAAGTCTTCACTCTTCACTGCTCTTCTATTCTAGGACAAAAAAAAAATCTAAAATTTGGATGGCCCTTAATTTATATATATATATGTATATATATACAGTTGATCAACTTTTTATCCTTTAATTATTAAGTGCATATTTTTACACTCTGGTCTAGAAATCAACCAAGTTAATAGTTTGAGGGAAAAGGGACATGAATTGTTGGCAATTCATGGCCAAGATTTGGCCAAAAAATAAAATGTAAGATTCAAATTTCATCTTGTATCTTATTTTTTATATCATATGTGAAGTTCATAAAATTTTATTCTATAATTATAAATTATTAAAAATAAATTACGCCATTTGCAATCTGCATAAAATCGCCCCGAATGATTTCCTGATAACCGTTCAGCCCCTTGTCCTAGTTTGAGAGCGTTTTGCCAGCTCTTTTAACCACTCTTGCCAACATAACCACACCACCCCATCTGTGTGGTTTATTCGGCCAGGTCATTCTTGCTTCTCCTCTCGTACTTATCGCACTATTTTCATGCACATCATACTAAGTGGTATGCATGGTACGATAAACCTTTTCCCCCAGCCGCCAAGGCAACGGCGTGTCTTCACGCGCCTCCGATGTCTCCGCCATCCTTTGTGTGTGTAAGTCCCAACCCAACGCGTGCCAAAACTTAAAACTTGTCTCGTCTCTTACCGTTCCACCTCAACCCTTTTCTCTCTCCACGTGGACTAATACCAGTGGCTACACCTCAGAATCACTTGTACATTAGCAAGACCCCACCTCTCACCACCAATAATTGATCATTCTCCTAATCCCCTCTGGACTCTTGCTGGCAGCAGTCTTCTCCTCCTACTTCTCCCATACGTCCGTCCTTCCCTCCTCTCGTCTTCTTCTTCAAAAACCCACCCCCACTTTCTAATTTCTTTTCCCTTCCCCAAAACCCCAAAATTTCCTAAAACCCTTATGCGATTCTAAACCCCTTTTCCCATATTCCATGCTTTAGCACAAACCATTCTAAACTCCATCCCATACATGAAAAAGATGCTTCCTTTCTCACACCTCAGTTGCCTATTCCTTGTACTCTGTTGCCTGTCATCAGCAGTACAATCGAACTTGGAATCATCTTCTTCAATCTATGAAGTACTAAAATGCCATGGCTTGCCAATGGGCTTACTCCCTAAGGGAGTCAAGAACTTCACTTTGGATAATTCTGGTAAATTTGAGGTGCACTTGGATCAAGCTTGCAATGCTAAATTTGAAAACGAATTGCACTACGAAACAAATGTTTCCGGTACTTTGAGCTACGGCCAGATCGGTGAGCTGGCTGGAATTTCAGCACAGGATTTGTTCTTGTGGTTTCCCGTTAAGGAAATCAGGGTGGATATACCTAGCTCCGGGTTGATTTATTTTGATGTTGGGGTGGTTTCTAAGCAGTTTTCTTTGTCCTCGTTTGAGACACCGAGGGATTGTACTGCTGTTCAGCTCACGGATCAGATTCAAGATGGGAAGCACATATTAGAGGCTGTTTCAAAGGTCCCTCATTTTGTTTCCGCCTATCTCTTTTCGTTTGTCTTTTGAAATTCAATCGTCAACTGATACTTATGTGCCTGTAGAATTCTTTGGCTTGTGGCTTGTTAATTTGCTTGGCATGTTGGTTTATAAATTTGGAAGATGGTAGAGATGTTGTTCGTGTTTATTCCCAAATCTCATAGTTTTTTGTCTTTGGATCGCCTAAACTTTATGGCTTTGTAGTAGCAGAGATGTTTGCTTAAAATTTCCGAACTTAAACTGACTCTATAGGCAAATAATATGGAGAGCCACGGTCAAAATTTGGAAGCTTGAGACAATGAGACCGCTGCTTCCAGATAGATGCTTTAGTTGATTTCTTAAAATTTGTTTCATTGAGTTTGAACTTTGATAGAGTGAAATTTTGACTTTTATTTCTGTCCAACGTTTTATTGGATTCTTATGGGAAACTTTGCCCTCAGTTACTACTCAAATTAGCTACAGTTGCAATACTTCCTTTTGTTCTTTAAAGTTCTTTTCACAACAGGATATAAAGATCTTGTGACTACATAACCACAAAATATATCTTCCGATGCCTTTTTCCTTTTCCTATCACTTCACTTGATAACGTTATATTCCTTATAAGTGATTCTGATGCATGTGTGTTTGTGAGCAGAGTCTCTTGGGGAAGCTCCGGTATCAGCTTGATCAGGGAGATTTTGTAAGGACTGTTCTGTAGATTTTGCTAGTCAGGAGAGGTCAAGTTGCACTATAGCTCAATCAGACCATGGGTCTTCCATTATTCATTCTATGTACATGTCTGCCGAAAGTCTGGTTTAGTGGTCATATGCTTCATTCAGGTGTGCTTGCTTGCGGTTTCATGTATAGTGCTGCAAACTATCATGCCAGCTCCTATCTTTTTGACGGTTGTGATTGGACTCCGAGATGAGGAGAGAAAGCCAGGATATATTGATGCTTCATTTGAGTGTCTATGAGAGAGAGGATATAAAGATACAGGAGCACTACATAAATTACTTGTGATAGATTTGCAGAGGTTTGTAACTACGTTCAATTCATATCAAACCTGAAATACGATTGTTACTTAATTCTCTTTTTGTAGTTGATGAGATATACATAAATGCAAGAAATAAAATCTATATTATTTTGATTCTTAAATTTGTAGTCTTTATTGTCTCATTCAAAGTTAACTGCGCCACTGCTTGTGATCTTCCTTTGCTTTTTGGATGCCACTACATTGTACTTGCTGGTTGCTTTTCAGTTTCTGAGAATTAAACAACTTAAGAAATCTCTAGTTAAATTGCATATGCAACTAGCCTGATATGATTCTTTTAGTTCTTTTCCAAACTTTAGTTTCTCGTCTTGCTTCTCATTTTAATTCTTTTCAGTTTGGCTTCTCATACTTCTTACTTTTTCTGGAACAACTCAATATGAATGAATTTACAGATTTGTCTTTTTTTATTAGGCTAAGAAAGTTGGATTCATTGAAGACGGCATATTTTTGCCAAAAATTGCATGAGCAATGGTACGCATCTGCTCCAAGTTTTTTTTTTGTTTTGTTTTCCTCGTCCAGTTTTCGACTGTAAGATACATACATTCTCTTGTAAGAAGAATGTAATGTTGGCTGAAACTATTTCAGGAATTTCTCTAATCTAGTGGGCCAGAGTTGAATCCTAAGCTTAGAAAACCTGCTACCTGCAAATCTTGATTCTGCCTCTGTTTAGTTTTGTCTTCCTTATCAAACTTGCTGTGTTCTTTTACAAGGCCATGTATTGAAATAGTTAGATGGTCTTTTCCCAATTCTCACATGCTTGCTAACAAGATTTACCTGTTTACATCATGCAAGCAATTCGCTTCTCTTTTCTGTGATATTTATAATGCGTTCAAATTTGGGAAATCAAAATTGTCAATAGCTTAAGACCAAAGCTTTCTGTTCTTTCTGCACTTAAGAGGAAATCAGTATTCCAGTGGGGGATTGATGTAATTATATTTCAATGTAGAGGCTATGACTTGTTTTGTTTAACATGTAAATTCTTAGAATTGTTTAACATATGTTCTTTTTTCATTTTCCTGGGATTCTTGTGATCTGTGTGGAATGGGAAGCAGGAGGGAGAGAACGACATATTGACCTAAGTTTTGCACTTGACTAAACTCTTCCATACGTTGTCTCATTTACTTCTCAAAAATGATTTATTTACAAGTAATGGGATCAAGATGAGAAATTTATAATCCGGCACCTGCCCACACTTCTTTTAAACATATCAAGCTGTCCTAAAGTGGACTGTAGTGAGGTTCATGAACGAGAATACGAGTAAAAGAAAGAAAACTTGATGACAGGGAAAAGTGGTCAAATGTCTTAGTGAGAATTACCTTATGACTTCAAATATTGCAGCTAGATTTTGTAATTCTTTAAGCATCTTTGGCTTTATTCTTGCATGGTACCGATTTCACAACAGGTGTTCCTGGACTGTTGGTATCCAAGGAAACCCACATGTATAACTATCGTATACTAATAAGTATTTCTGCCCCATATTCCCATACAGCTGCTGATGAACTCATAGCAATGTTACATTTTCTTCTATAGTGTCCATTGATTGGATTTTAGCTGATTTGCTTGTTCATTGTCTTGTTTCCTTTCTGTTGCCTACTTTAACAATAGGAGCATTTTAATAAGCTTTTATTTTTCTATGAGCAGTGGGTTTCAGTATAAACCTTTTTCCCCTGGATCGATACCATGGGATTGTTACCTTTTAATGAATCATCAGGTTAATGAATTGTATATTGCCACTGGAAAGAGAGTGAAAGATAAGCAAGAGCTCATTAAAATCTTTCATTTTTGCAAATATGTTGATGATGCTGGCCCGAACGGGGCTGCCACTTGCAAGCATGCATGTGGTGAAGTGAAAAACAAAATACCAATAGTGGCGTGAAAATTAACTATTTCATTCTTTTTTTAAAGTATGAGTTTTGACCATGAGAAAAGGGACAAATTTAGGGAAAAAAAAATAAGTTAAGTCTGACATATATTTAGTCCTTTTAAAATCTCTTCGTTTGTATTGGGATATTGTCTTTTTGATGTTAAATAATGAAAAGCTGGCAAAGAGTGACTTTCACATGGCATATGCTGGGTAAGGGCGCTATGTATTTGAGTACAGGCTAGTGTATACATTTACTATCTTAATGCATGCATTGTACTCGACAATGATCACTGGTGACGGTAGAGATTTCGTGGTATGGATGGATTTCCAGCAAGTGTGTGAATATGCACATGGAGGCAGATTTCTATGAATGGGATTTCCAGCACCTGAGTGTCCCTCAAATGGAAATGGACCACCCCCTCTATTATTGTCATTGATATCATCTAAAGTCTCCACCTTTAGGTCTCTGCAGTTTTGGCCAGATAAGTTAATCCGAGTGCAGGGCAGCATAGCTCCTCAAGGGCTCTCTTCTTTTTGTTGTTTTTCTCTTTTGCTGGACGTTACTGCCAACAAAAGACACCAGCAACAACTCCTACAAAATATGTCCGCCACTCAACATCCTCATCCTAGACCGATGAGAATGATTCAGATTGTTCTCTGGGTTTACCACTCGACCAAATAGGCATAAAATTGCAGATGTGAAGGAATTCTAGGCTTTCTTTCTTTGTGCAAAACAGAAGTTTTTCCTTTTTGCAACTTAAATAAGACTCAAAAACTGTAAAAGCTTTCGCAGTGAAGGGTGAAATTGTGGTTGATTTTGTGTAACAGCATGTACTACTGTTATAATACTAGGAGGATGTCTGTCGGACCCACGGCGGGCTTTATAGATGGACGCCGACGGACAATGATGATATCATTGACTGGAGAAGTCTCCCATACAGTTTGATGGCCACTGGGGTGGCATTTAAGTGTTGCAATTATTCCAGGCAAAGTTCATACTATTACTAATAGGGAGAAAATGTCAAATGTGAAAAGTCCCCCAGATGCTGTATAAAGTATACTAAACTAGTAGTAGTAATTAAAAGAAACCTACGGCACCATACATTTGTTTCGGGCCTAGCTGCGCCTTCAATTAGTATTTAGCAGCGACAGATTCAACAGATTTCCCTGTTCTGTTTTCGGGCCTTTGATCTTCCGACCAAAAGAAATTATTGGTAACATCATAGCAAGATTAGAATAGAAGTTGGTTTTGTTCATTACCAACTGGAGACGAAAGGTGCCTAATTCACCCGGTGCACAACACACTTTGTACAGAATGAACTTATTCTGGAAATGGTTCAAAGGTTTAGAGGACTTGCAAATCAAGGAAAGACACGGGACCAAACCTGAGGATGAAGAATGATGTGGGGTTGTGGGTGCAAATCTTGAACAAGGATTATGAACGAGGATGAGCTGCTGAGTGGATGCGACACATTTCAACAAAATCCGGACCGTCAAATCGCTCAATCGAAACCCCAAAAAGTCTCACATCACAATCACATTAGCAAGTCTTCCTCCCAACCGTTGAACATTCTAGAAAAATCTCTTATGTGCTACGTAGTAACAAAAATTTTTTTTTTAAAAAAAACAAAAATATTCTAGTACTCGAACTACTACTACTACTAAATGCAAAGGGATTTTCCTAATCTGTTTATCTTTTCGTCATCTACTCTCCTTCGCTCTACTCCTCTCCTTTCTCTTTCTTCGCTCCCTGGCCCGGACAAGGAAAACCCATCTCCTCCGGCGCCCGCACTCCATCTTCAACGGTTACTTTCTGTAAACCAGTTGGAGATGTCAGTTATTATTCCATCTATATCCCTTGCTCCAACCCTCACTTCCCGCCACTCGAAAGCTCCCACATCATTTCTCTTCCTCCCCAACGATTCTACTTCGAATCCCAATTCTCTTTCTTTTTCCCTCGCTTTCACGAAAAGGCCTCTTCTTCTTCCATTTTTGAACAAGGGTTTCCGTGGGTTTGGTTCTTTATCTGCCATAGCCTGCTCAACGACGTCGTCCCCGTTTATTGGAAAGGTTGGGTGGCATAAGCGAGAAGGCAATTTTTCTCTCTTATCTTTTGGTGCAAGCCTCGATGAAAGCGTGATGGAAGCTGATAAAAAGGCGGATTCTTCCCAAGTTTTGTCTGCAATGCTTCCTTTTGTGGTGGCCCTCACTGCAGTTTCTGCTCTTTCTCAGCCTTCTACTTTCACTTGGTAAGATTTCCAATCAATTTCTTTCTGTGTGGTAAGAAATCTTCCGGGGCTTTTGATCGAATCCGGAGTTTCTGAAGGTTTATATTTAGCTTAACTTATTTATGCTTCAATCATGTGAATATATATAAATTTTCAGGAGTTTGGGGTGTTGCTTGTGTTTCAAGACTTGTCCAATGGGAATCTAGTACTGTGACTCAGGTGCATAGTTTGATCAAATCATATGTTTTGATGCAAATATCAGAGAGTTTCTGGGTGGTCCTTATATTATTTTATGGGGTTGATTTTATTATTCAAGTATTTATCGTCAGTCCAGAGTGAGGCAAATGGGTTTTCTTTATTTACTCATTGATTTATTTATCTGTTCTGTCTTTTTTTCTCCTTGGTCTTCCATGTGCACTTTATGAAGATGCTTGATACTTAAAGCTATACAAATGTCTTGGTTTTGTTTTTGTAAATGATAGAGGAACCTGCAGGGTGTCAAAAGAACTCTATGCTCCTGCACTCGGAGGAATCATGTTGTCTATTGGGATCAGGCTTTCAATTGATGACTTTGCTCTGGCATTCAAAAGGTTGCAACTTTTTCACTACCTCAATCAATTTTTATGTGTTTTTTTTTTGTTTTAACTAATATTGATTGATTAATGGATTTTGTTTCTGATTATACCTCTTTACTTTTTTCCCTTAACCAGGCCTGTCCCTCTGTCTATTGGATTTGTTGCACAATATGCCCTGAAACCAGCACTTGGAGTGTTGGTTGCGCGAGCATTTGGAATGTCTCGTATATTCTTTGCCGGTTTTGTCCTCATGTCTTGTGTTGCTGGGGCTCAGCTGTCTAGTTATGCCAGCTTCTTGAGTAAAGGCGATGTTGCTTTGAGCATTCTTTTGACCAGCTCATCAACCATTGCTTCAGTCCTCGTTACTCCTCTTCTAACAGGCCTTCTCATTGGTTCTGTTGTTCCAGTTGATGCAGTTGCTATGTCAAAGTCAATTT